ATGATGTATGAACTCACTCTAATTTGCTTCTGAATCAATAAACTTACTATTATTCATCAAAAAAAATAGTATTTATGTGTTATATATACTACTATTTTATGAAAAAGGTTTGCAAAAGGTTTTAATCCCGTGATCCATCCGAGCAAAGAGTGTAGCACTGCACCTTGTAGCCAAGGGAGAGGTCCTTCCCTGTCAGGTAGTGTTTGATCATTATGAGCCAAGAGGTTAAGTGTAAGAGACCATTACAGGGCTGGTTACCTGATGGGCTTTGTCTTACATGGTTCCATTATCCTTGGGTCTTCATAGGGTGGATGAATCCAAGGATCACTTAGGTGTAAATGTTGGGCCCAAACTAGACCAATGCTGACTGGTTCAGGGGTTCACTACCCTGAGCAGTGAATTTGGCCTAGCCTCTTTCAAAAGTTGGGCCAAACCCATATGGGCTTGTGTGAGATCATTGTAGGGTCCCATGCCATACAATATCAGGCCTAAAGTGGCCATGCAACACCTTGGGTCATGAGCATTTAAAGTAAATGGGCCTAAGGCACAAAATTGATAAGATTGCTCTAGATTGAATTTGGGTTTGGTTTTGGGTATGGAGCACATATCCTCTTAAGAGGATAAGGCTTATATCTTAATAGAGTCCAGAACCAAATCAGGTTTGGATAATCTCCTAATTAGATTAGGAGAGTGCTCCATAAAGAGATAAAAGAAGAAGAGGGTGAACCAAACTAGAAGACCTCTCTCTCTTGTTCTCTCCTCTTTTTCTAGTTTACCAAGAAACCCTAATTCAACCTAGGCTTTCAAAAACTAATTTCTTATCAATTTTCTTAAAATTTTTGCAAAAAAAATGTTGAAGAAGATCAGGCTCACTCACCCCATTCGATCCAAGCAAGTTGGATAGCAGTTTTGGAGAAAATAGTGTTGCTAAATCGGCTTCACCTATACACTACACCATCTTCAGTGAAGGCTGGTTTTAGGACTGATTTTGGTGTGAACTTCCACCTTGGTATCTGCGCTTGTGGTATCCGTATCAGGTATAATTTCCCCTTTTGATTTGGTTTCAAATCTGATCTAGTTCAGTGCAAGATCGATTCGAAAAAATGCATCTTTTCAAAACACTGTGAAATCGGTGCCCAAAAGGGTTAGAAAATTTTTGAAATTTCACTCAGCCATCTAGCATGGTTCGGCCATCCATAAGTTGGATTCTAACCCTTCCAACAATGACAATAGTGTATGAATTCCATATATCCATAGAAGATCAGACCTAAGATATGTCTTTGATTGATGAGTGACTTCTTTGAATGGTGATATCAAGCCTAGATTTGTTATCAGTCCAAACTTTTTTGTAGTACAGGTGGCTTCGGTCAAAGAAATGGGGAGAACTATGTACCAGGATAAGCAAAGTGAAGTATATTACTGAACCTAAACCAGAAATCGGTTCTTCAGGCTATAACAAGTGGGTGCAGAAGAACATTCAGATAATGACATTTGGGAACAGCCTGAACACGAAAATCAGTGTCAACCTCTTCTTCCCAGATACAGCCAAGACATTTGGGAACATGTGACTTGGGAAGCAATTATATTCAGGTCAAAATAATGTGACTCAAGTTTATTAGCTTTACCGAAATTATTTCCTTCTTCGAAAAGGTGATGGAGAATCTTAGAAATGAGCTGAATGTATATCGACCTCTGTCAATAGACTTCAGAGTTCAGCAGCAATAATGGGAACACATAGATGATGGATGCATGCCCCTAGAATTGGGAGAGTAAAACTAGCCAAAAGAAAGACACCAATTAAGTAGGAACCTTTTACTTTGCAGGCACAATGGCCCTTTGGACTACATGCATCATCCAACATGAAATACTAACACTATTGAGTAGAAAACTAAAAAAAAAGTTACAGATCACCAAAAGAGCAGGAAAGGAGAAAAAGGTGGAAAGGATTTATAAGATTAAAAACTAAAACATCATCCTAATTCAGCACCAATGTTCTAGCGAGACGAGAGATACAGAAATGAAACATTTTGTAACACCACCAAAAGAAAGGTAATATGGACAATATTGAGAAAAAAACTTTTAAAAAAGTTACAGCTCATCAAAAGACAGTAAGGGAGAAAAGGATAGAAAAGCTTAAAAACTAAAACAACATCCCAGTGCAGGACCAATGTATTAGTGTGATGAGAGAAAGAGAAATGAAATATTTTGCAGCAACAACACCCAAACAGGCAGATCAGTAAAAAAATATAAAACATTCAATTCAAAGACATGCAACAAACCTGAGATAATCAGTTGTCCTTTCAAAAAGGCCACGTCCAACATAGTATCGCTCCTGAAAACCACACATACAGTGTGACAATAGACATAGAAAACACCAGGAACACATTTCTGAGACAAATCACATTGCAGTGACCAAAAATGAATTTCAGGGAGAACAAACCTGATAAATCCACTTAAAAAATTGAAAGAAGGACCACTTGTCAAAAAATTCTGACACTGAATGACAAGCTGGAAATTTTAGCATTATTGCAAGGAACAAGCGTACGGCAGCATAAACACCAAGCACAATAATATAAATCCGAAAGTAGAAAGAGTCTGAGTTTGGGTTATCTCTCTCCTCCAGAACCTTCCTGCATTTAATTTCAAAAGCAGAAGCTAATTCAGGAAATGAATTCACTAAATATGTCAGAACTTGGAAAGTAAAAAGAAATTGAAGCGATGCAGGCAATTTCACATATCTGGAACAATATTTGAAAGCTGAGCTACTCACAGGTAGACATATGTTACAAATACTGAGCTGATTCCAAACCAAAAAAACCTAATAACAAGCCTTGAGATTGCCATGCCCCTTGCTGTTGAGTATGCCCCAAACATAAGCAGAACATCTAAACAACCTGCAAATGCAGTGAAAATATGATTAGAAAAGGCCAAAGTGGAGGATGTGAAATAAATATTAGATCTGACAAATACTTTCAATAAAACAGAGCTACATAGAAAATAAAAGAAACTTACTCTCAACAAAGTTCAGAATAGCGAATGTTGGCCCAATGCTAAGCAATGTCTTGAAGGTGTTGAGATTAATATTTCTATGATTGAAAGCTATAATTGTCAAACCCTGAAGTCAACACAAGCAAAACAACATTATCAAACGTAAACATCAACGTTTAAAAATGGGAAAAAATCCATGAGGTCTTTAGATATAAACCTGGAACATCAAGATTAAAAAAATCCACAAACGATGGAAACTTCGATATAAGTGAAGAAACGTCCGATGCTCGACAAAAGAACATTTTCCTCTCTGCAAATTTACAATAAGAAAACAACAAATGAATGTAGTCTGTAGTCTGCAAATTTACAAGAACATAACAAATGAATGTAGTCTGTAAGATAAATAATTAAATAAGAATGAAATTCATGAAACACCAGAGGTGATAAACTGATAATGACCAGACCAACCCAGAAGGCCCAAGCCTAGGTTTTCCCATTCAGACCTGTTCAGCAAGGACCAACACTAGATCCAAACATAGGACAATCAAGGTCCAGGCTTCAAACATCAAGTTTTGGTCAATGATATCTAGCCTGGAAAATATACATATCCCATATATAATATAGAAAAAGCTTCCTGATCAAAACAAGTAGGGGCATTTCCTACATGACCCCACCTACTTCTACCATATGAAGGGGATCCTCAGGTGAATCCAGACCATCCATTAGGTAGGGGACCCGCAATTGACGATATCATCCCCATGCTAAATCTTGTATTGGAATTTTTCCCAATCAATACTAGTTCTACATACTCTTAACTTTAATAAATATAAAAGGCATCCATGAAAGGAGGTCTATTTTGGACAAGTAACAAGGTCTTTCAGGACAAAATTCTTTCCATGAAAGAGGAAAAAGGCAACTGCTTTTAAGATCCAACTATTACAAAAAGCGGAGCCACCCATGGATAGTGAATGCAAACCACTTGTTAAAAAAGTTATTTGTCATGTTATGTTCTGTTTAATAGACCTTTGATGTGTTATTGGGTGGCAGGGTAGTTTAGACTTCCCTTGTTTAAGGACACTCCAGCCCATAATTTATACTAAACAAAGCCATGATTGTAATTTGACAATTGTTAGGATTAATATATATGCCCGCCAACTGCTAGGTGAGACTAACTGCACCTGAAATATCAATCAAACCGCAGCATGGGTTTTTTTCCTCTCTTCCACATGTGCACAGTTTCTTCTCCTTTTCTCTAAATGTTCTTGAAGCCACTTCTACCAGTTTACATGGTATCAGTGCAGGATAAAGTGGCCCAATTTCTCTTCGTCTCCTCTCTCCTTGTTCTATTTCAATCCATTTTCTTCTCTCTTTATTTTCTGGTTTTATATAGAGAAATGAGAATCTAGTCAGGCCAATTACTACTTTTTCGGAGATTTGTGATGGTTTTAACCATCACATCAACTGTGGTGAGTGGTGTATGATGTCAGATCCTCTAGTGGGAAATTCCAAGAGGTTGGTGATCATATGTATGCAGGAGTTAATGACTTGTAGATGCATCAAGCGGTGAAGATTATATACAACAGTTTCATGAGTCGTGTACGATATGAGATCCTCTAGTGGGAAATTCCAAGAGGTTGGTGATCATATGTATGCAGGAGTTAATGACTTGTAGATGCATCAAGCGGTGAAGATTATATGCAACAGTTTCATGAAATAAAAGTCTTGATCTTTATGCTGAAAATGAACAGTGAGTGAACTTTTTTAAATGCTCAAACCAGCCTGGTTCTTGATTTTTTTTTTTTTTTGATCAATAACAGAAAGCTAGCCTGGTTCTTGATTTTGTGACTGGCCAATTGCAGTCAAGATTAGTTAACAGATTCTTATTACTTATTTCATTGGAAGTATGATTGAATGGAGTTCAAATTTGCTGTGATGGTATCACCTGGCTTGTTATCCATTCAAATGAAATAAACAGGAAATCCAAAGAGGCAAAGATATTATATGATACACCTAATACAAGGTATATCATATTGATACTTTGAACCTTGGCTAAGGGGTTTACTCAAACTTCTGGAGTTGAATTTGATAAGACATTTTCTCTTGTGGCTAAGATACCATATGTTTGTGAAGCAGAAAATTCCAACACATAACAAGAGGCTTCAGACACAAGTATCAATAAGCAAATAAAGACGAGAAAAATGAAGAGGAAGCAAGAATAAGTTCTATTTTTTTATAGTAAAGTAAAAGAAATTTATTAAAAAATAAGATGGAACAAGCTGATTATAATCAACACCAAGCTGTCAAAGTAACACCCAATCAACAGAAGCAAAACAACACGAATCATCAAGGCCACAAAGCAGGAAAAACAGTCACAACTATAGCAAACTCCTCTCCTCCCCAGAAAAACAGACCTAAGATCTTGCCAACCTTGATATTCCTGTCAGCCAACCCCTCAATCTCCTACTTTCGGTCTTTCCTCCCATTTCCTCCTTGCTGATTGAACCTTCCTCAACATGAACATTCTCCAGATCACAACTACCCTCCTTTTCCTTTTCTATGGCCCTAATAGCAACTCTAGCCCATCTTCAGGTAAAGTCAACAGCTTCAGCTCCGTCCCAACTGAAGCTTGAGATTCAATTCCCTGCCCTTCAGCAATCTCCCTCTTCGAAACCTTGATGATTTTACCCTTCTTATAAACTCTCTTGTATTTATTAGTTGGACCAACCCCAACCAAACCTTCTTTCAACCTTGAAAAAATTAGTAAGATGGATTAGATGAGACTTGCATCTCGGGCTTTCTTCACTGACTCTGAACCGCCATCATCTCCTTCCTTAATAGCACTTGTTCTTTTCCTGCCCAGGTCCACTCTGAGCCTAGCAGCTGGCACTTCCTTTGAACAGACAACAACTTCCAAGATTTTGTCTCCCCACCTCCCATTCCCTTTTCGGTGCCCCCATCCCCCCTTACCACTTCCTCCACTCTGTCTCTCAAACCTGTCTCCTTCTCCTCCTCCCCTCTAACCTTACAACAACCTGATCATCCAAAGCTGAGTACCCCTCCTGTACCATTTCCTTTTGAATCTCAACCAAGAAGGACCTAAAATAAATAACTTTACCTTCATACCAATCAGACTCTACCCTTTCCTTCTCACAACTCTCACTGTGTTACTTACCTAGATCATACAAACAGAATCAGAGCTTTGAAGCCTCTCAGGGCCATCTCAATCTACTACAAACTTCAAAACCAGGCTCTTCTTTCCATTTCTATCATATCTCTCCACCACCCAAACCCAACCTTCAGCCTCTCCTTTTTGACTTTTCAAAATGCCTTTTCTTCTTCTACTCAGGACTGAAGGCTTAGACCCGAAGCCTCTCACTATAATGACCTTTAATTTTTTAAGACAACCATCATTCTTTAATACCATTTTTTTTAAATGACGAGTGGATAGCATTCCCAATGCCTTTTTCACTTAATATCAAATTGCGACCCATTGAAAGCCTCTTATAATCTCCCATCTTCCAAAACACAACCATTTGAACCTTCCTAAAAAGTACCTCTCTACCCCTTGACCTTTCCTTCCTGTCATCTTCAACCTTCAAACGATGATTCACTTCCCATAAATTGCTAGGACTAAGAGCCTAAGACTCCACCCCCTATCTGTAGAGATAGGGATAGTGAGGGCTGAATAGTAATTTTACTGTTGTTGTATCATCACTTTTCTATTCTTTATAGCTTGTACACTACTTTTTGTACTATAAGGATAAAAGTGTCCTTTTACATTCTTTAATATAAATAGTCCTTTCTTGGTGTGGTCGACCATTAGACACCCCAAATCTGTGTTCTTTCTCTTGTTCGAACTGCACTGGCATGGTATCAGAGCAGGTTCGTCCTGATCTCAGACATTATTCATCCTTATTCAGCATCGAGTTGGGTCTACTTCTCAACCATTTCGGACTATCATATCCTTTCTTCTTGGATTGTTCTGTTCAAGACAAGAAATCTGGATTTTCTGGACTGGGACGCCCATCAGGTCAGTTTTTTGAAGTTTTCTCTCAAACTACTGATCCATTTGCTCTAATATTTTAGATCTGGTGTCGCCCTAGACTGTTCTTCATATTGTTCCAGCCTATTAGAACCTATTTCCTTCATTGTTTCTCTCACTCTGGCATTTGAAAGAAATGATGTTCTTCTTGTTAAGTTTGATGGAACCTATGCCTTATGGTAGTTCCATTTTTAGTTTTATGTTGAAGGCAAAGGGTTGTGGGGTGACATCGATGGATCCACCACTATGCCTGAAATGACTGATGCAAAGGGGCAGCAAACTTGGAAGATTAATAATGCGCAGATTGCATCCGGGATTTTGAGTTGAGTCACCTCTGATGTTGCCATCCCTATGAGGAGTCTTCGGGCAGCCAATGAAATGTATGAATATTTGGAGAAAGTGTATCAGTAGTCCAACATCTCAGGCCAGTATCAGATTGAAACTGAGATATTTTCCTATAGCCAGGGTGAAAGGAAAATTCAGGAATATTATGCGAGGATCATCAATCTTTGGAAAGAGTACGAGCTTATTCACAAGGGTGAAATATCCTCAGCTTGCTGTATCAAGACTCTAAAGGAACATTTTGGCAGAAGGAAAGTAATGCACTTTTTGATACATCTCCAACCTGAGTATGAGGTAATAAGATCAAACATCTTATGTAGGGACACTGTACCATCCCTTGATACTATTTTGAGTGAATTACTCCGAGAGGAAACCAGGATGATTACTCAATCAGCAGTGAATGCCAAGAATGATACAATAGATGATGTGTTCTTAGCAACTAACAAGTCTAAACCAAAGAAGGAATTATCTAGGGTGCAATGTTACGAGTGCAAGGAATTCAGCCATGTGATATCTCATTGTAAGAAGATAAAAACTTGTACTTATTACAAAAAATTTGGTCACATCATTACAGAATGCCCCACACATCCACCTAAAAGGAATCAATCTGGGGCGAAGAAGAGTAATCACAAGGCATATCAGACTTTGGTTGAAGGATTAGATGATGTTTCATCCTCCACATCTCAAACCAAGACTGACACTGCAAATATCCTAGTCATCTCTAGATAATAGGTTCTGGTGTTTCCAATCATATGGCGGGAGCTACATGCAGTCAGTCATCTTATCCTCTTCCTTCTAGCAAACACACTATTACAACCAATGGTGAAAAACTTGACTTGTTGGCTGTAACGATCTCACATTATCTACATCTTGCTCTTCCCCCTTCAAGTTACCTCAGACTTTATTTGTTCTTAGACTTACAACAA